TAATCTAAGGTTCTTGTTCTCCTGTTTCTTACAGCTTCTTCTTTGATTACTTATTTTTTTTCTCTTACTTGGATTACATTTTCTCGCCCTTTTTCTTACTTTTTCGACATTTTTTTTTCTTTTTGTTGTTGTTGCTCATTTGTTGTATTTGAATTGGAAATAAATAAAATTTATCTAAACAGTAGATGAATTGCTAGTACACGGATATAGAGTTGTGTTGCAATTTTTTGGGTTTTGGTTGTTGATGTATTTCGTATATAATATTTATATACAAGTTTTTTTTTCGTAAATGTGTATCAATTGATTTGGTTCGCATAAATTTTTGTCAACATTATGTAGTGAATGCAACTGTAAGCGTTCATAATGTATTTAAATGGCAGTTGATAGTTTTACACAGTAATTGATCGTGTCAACGATATAAGAGAATGTGTGTGTGTGTGCCTAAACAGCAACGGAGACGGTGGCAGTAGAAGTGGCAGTGTACGTTATATGTTTGTGTTGAATTTTCGTTGATGTTATATTGTGTTTTGTAAAAAAAAAAGCATTCTTTTCCAACTCAGCAACTCCGTTCAATGACTTTGCTCAATCACCTTTTCACACAGTATGTTTATCTGCATATAGATTGATAGGTACGTTCATTTTAATTTGAAAGGCGGATTCTTAGTAATGGTTGCGCTTTTCTCTATTCCATCTACCAGAGCAAAACTTCGTGTGTATGCGTTGGTATACAAACGGATGTATCCTTTTTCAATTTCTGTGCATTCACTTAGCCTTTGCATTTGGCTGCTTTCGTACACAATATTTCGCAGTCATCGGTACGGTGCAGTATGCAATGTTTTTGAGTCATTATGCATGCATAAAATGGAGAGAGAGAGAGAGAGAGAGAGAGAGAAAAGACAGGGAAAAAATTAATCATACATTTTTGGAGAGAGAGGACACTTTTCTTTACTCTCTGTTTTGTATCTCTTTCTTTCGATCTTCATCCGATTTTTCGCTTCGGTTCGCTTCTTTGGCTTTATTCACTCAAACTGTATGCATGTGTGTGTGTGTGTGTGTGTCTCGATCCCGTTTTCGGTCTCTTTTCAACAAGTTTATTGTTAGGCATTACAGTACCGTCGCTAGTTTGTATCCTGGATGAAAATGGCTTCCATTATCTCTAGCTAACGAGAAAGTGAACCAGAGCCACAGCCAGATGCAACTGCAGGTCAGCACATATTCTCATACAAACTTCGTTTCGTATAAATTCTCATTACACGGGAATTGATTTTCCTCAGCTATTTTATGCATATACATATAGTACGAACTCATGTATATATGTATTGGTCTTCAAAAATACTTGGTACTTTTTTCCTCACTCTTATTTCTCATACATTAGGCGATTTCTTCTTCTTTTTATTTCTACTCTCTGCCGTTGGTCCATTTTGTTTTTTTCTTTTTCTTTCGTTCGCTGAAAATACCGTTCAAAACTTTTTGGAGAAGTTCCGTAGAAAATTTTAAGATTTATAGAAAAAGTTCTTCAATGTTGGACGACAAGAGAAGAAGACATGCAAACATTTATGTTTGTGCGAACAACGGAGCAGTTTTGGGATCAATAGCTCGCTTCGCTTAGCCCTCTCTTTCACTTTTTCACTTCTTGGTCATACTTTGCCCACCCGTGTCGCTCTCCGTACCTCTCTCTATGCGTCTTTCATTCATTCGATCGACGAATTGTCTAAAAAGAATATATACGTGAGTCGGCTCTTGTGAACGTACCTATAGATTTATTTTTTTTACTTCATTTTGTCATGCTGCACACTGATTCGTGTACTCCGCACCACTGCAATCACTCATTCTCTCCCTATCTTCAATACTTTGTGTGTAAAAATCGACATACTTAGCTGCCATTTTTAATACTATGTAATAATTTTTGTTGTTGTTGTTGTTGTTGTTGTTGTTGTTGTTGTTCGTGTATCTTGTTTCCCAATCGATCGGTCAGCATTATTAATACAAAGGTTGCTTCAAAACTTTCGAGTGTTCTTTTTGCTCATCGTCTTCGTCGTCGTCTGCTTGTGTACTGTTACATTGGTGTACTCATTCCTTGTAAATGAAACGGTTGCCACTTTTGAGTTCAATATTTCGTAGGATTTTATTTTCGGATTGGAAAAAAAGGTGTATCGATTGTCGTTTTGCTTTGGCACACACATATTATGTGCTAGTTTTGAAGTCTTTAAGCAGCCCATTGTGTTGTGAAAAGTTCAATAGACTTGTTCAAGCTTCAAAATTGTATTTTATATTGATGGTATAATCCCATAGAAAATGATTGAAATGAAAGTGGAAAAATGACACATGATCTCCATCGAATAGCAACAACAACAGTTACCAAATCTTAGTATCGCATTTTATGGTCTTTCGTGCGACAAGCTCTTATATCAGTAGAAAACTTTTATACTTTAATCTATCAAAAGCAGTTATAGGCTTCACAAAGTAATGCCGAAATTGATTAGACTTTTGGAACACTTTCGAAGAAGCAACCAATGCAAAATCTTTCGAACACAAGCCCATCGCTTTGGGAAGTAAGTCATAGTGTTTGTGTTTGTGTGTCTTGAATAAAGTTTACCTAAAAATTGTCTTTATAATACAAAATACATACAATTGTTTGTTTTTTGATTGAGTATCGTTTGTCTTAGGTTGATATTGAATTATGAATCGCAAATATCGGGCCATTTTGAAGTATATAAATGTTTTATGTATTTTGAAGAAATTCTGTTAGTTTTTTTTTCTCTTTAAATCCCTTAAGTATTATAATATAATTTTTTTTTATTTAACTTAGTAAATTAGATTATTTTTTGTTGTAGCGTTTCATTAAATTCAATCTTGGGTTTTTAGTCAAACCTCGTTCTTTTTGGAGATGGGTTTTTTTGTTTAATTTTCTGTGTGTGTGTGTGTGTGTGTGTGTGTGTGTCTGTTATCTTTTATATCGTACATATACAGATATCTACTATCAGAGATTAAATTTAACGATTGTTCAAACCAATCATATTTACAAATATATGACTTGCCAGCATTATACATTTGTCTTTAAATACGCCGTTTATTGCTGACAACACGTAGGTATATGTGGAATACAATCAACATGAATACCACCTCGACTTCGTATGACATCTATCGAGACCAAATACAAGATGATTCTAATAAGCACTGGCAGCCCCTGATTCACATTATTGATGTATCGTTTTCCTTTTGCAAACTGTTTTCCTTTCATTTCATCCCATGAATTTGGTTGAAGTGAAGAGAGAAGAAAACTGATGAGCGGCGAACATACACAAAAGATGAATGCCAATAGCTCTGAGAAAGGAGAGATTTGTGCTAATCGAAAGTCGCCGAAGTAAAAAAAATGAAAAAGAGACGAAATTGGAATAGCTACGCTCCCTAAATTGTTATTTGAATATTGAATTGCAGTCGTTGCTCAATTTTTTTTCCTTCTTCTATTCCATCTCCTCCTCCTCGTCCGTATGTATGTATGTGTGTTTGTGTATTCATTCGTTCGTTTGCATAAAAAAAATTCCACATTTAGATTTATATCAAATGAATTCCGCAATGCAAGAGTGCTCCAGCAAATTTTGCCGTTTTCAAATATTTCAAGTGAGCTCAATGTTGGACGAACAAAATGAAATACTGCTCAAACAATTTTTGAAGACATGAACGCTATCAATTACATAACGGCAAATGTAAGTTTTCCGTAATCGTTTGTTCCCTTTTATGTTCCGTTGTCGTTGTCGTCGTCATCTTTGATGCAGCAGAGAACCAGCGAACGGACGAAAAAAGGACGAAGCACTTGCGAATAGGTCCTTTTAAGAAATGAAACCAATTGCACTTAAAGTGCTCAAATGTTTGTACTATGCAAAAGAAGAAGCACCAGAAGAGGCAGCAGAAAAAAAACGCGAAACATTCAATCAAATCAAATTTTTAAATTCTCTTCGCTTGATTTTTTTTTTTGTCGTTCTTTCAATTTTCTCCCAAGAGAAACGACCAATATGTTTATACGCTGTCTATCCGCCGAAAATACACTACAATATATATTCACGCTTATTGGACGCCCAATTGAATATATATTCTAGTGTATATTCGGTGTATTCTTCAGCGTGGAACATATTGAATCAATGAATGCATTCATGGCCATCAGAGGGCGCCTGAATAAGTTTCAATATGTTTCACGCTGAAGAATACGCCGAAAATACCTTAGAATATATATTGAATTCGGCGTCCAATAAGCGTGAATATATATTGTAGTGTATTTTCGGCGGATAGACAGCGTATAAACATAATGGCCGTTTCTCTTGGGCTGTTAATCTTTGCTATTTTTCGTTCAAACAATGGCAAATGAAACTAGTAATATTGTTCGACAAAAGTTATTCGTGTGTGTGTTTGTCTACCGAAAATCGCTTGTACCTTCTTTCATATGGTTCATGTTATACCTTCGTCGCCGTTACATTTGATTGAATAAACTTTTTTTTTCTGTTCGCTCTGATTTCAACGATGTGAAACACTTGAATTTTTCCATTCAATTGCCGCATACAGATCGAAATATTTGGGGTGCCAGTGTATAGGCTTTGGTTTGATTTACGAACTTTCGCGAATTTGGTCGTCGATGTTTCTGTTTTTTTTTGTTCTCTCTCTTTCACCTGTTTCTTTTTGTAGCGATTGTTACGAAAACTACTTTTAATTCCGTTTGCGTCCAAACAATTTGGAAAACGGTTAAATTTGTGTCTTTTGTCAAATTCCAATCGTTACAGCTTAGTTTGCACATTTACTTCGTTTGCATTTTATTTTGCTCACATGTACACAGGCCATTCTTAATTCGATTAAATAGACCATACCGAATTTTTTTTTACTTTGTGTGAGGAGATGTGTTTTATATTCAAATTCCATCATCTCCATAACTCGCTATAAACACCAACTATCGCAACCGAAAAAAGCAGTTGCTTATAGATCAAATTAAGACTTGTAAAATCCATTTTGTTTCTTTTAATTCATTAGAAATCACATTGATCATCAACAGATTTTATATTATTTTTAAATATTTAAATCATTTTATTTTCAATGAAACTATGCACATCGTATGTGTGCGTCTTTTTGACGCATTCAAATGCATTTCTGTTTCTTTAAGAAATTTTCGTTGAAAAACGTTTGCTACAATATCGAGAACTGCATTTATTGCATTGTTAATTACACATTCGTCGTCGAATATCCACTAAATGTTGCAAAATATTGCACCGTCACATCAAACATAAAATCGCTGCGGAGCGCATTTCAATTGAATTACCGTGCAGTGTTTGTTTTTATTTTTCGTCTGAATTCACGTTCCTTGTCGAATGCATTGAGCGCTTGATAGTATTTTTTACTTCTTTCGTTTTGTTTTGTTTTTAATTAAATTGTATCTATGATTCATTAATAGTTATGGTATTAATATAGAGAACAGACAGAGAACGTCAAAAGAGAGTATTGGATTGAATGTGTTCGTGTATGTTTTTTGTTTGTTTGTTTCATGTTATTGTTATTTTTTGAGTTTGGTTTTTGGTATTGTGTGCGCATATGGAATGTGTCTTTGCCACTTCACTATACGAATAAACATTTTAAATATCGTTAGATGTTTTATGTATTTATATATGCTGGAGAATTGGATTTAAAAAAAAATATTTGTGTTCACAGAGCCGTATCACCGACTCTGTGTGTTTCCTATAGTCATACCGTGCTTTCACGCTTTACCATTAAGGGTGTTTCTACGGTGACTTCGTCATCAACTAAGGCGGCCGGTATGCAGTGTCTTGCCGTTCTCGAATTCAAATGATGCATTGCGATTTGCGATGGTGGCGGTGGCGCTGTTTGTAAACCGCTTATTTGAACTTGTGGTATTTGACGAACACTAGCAATTGTTCCACCATACGACGACCAATGATGTGCATTCACTTGTCCAGGATGTCGGGGCAACGTACATGTTGTCATTTGATTCTGGTATGCATTCGGTACAGGACTCTGTGACGAAAAAGAAACAAAGGGAAAAAAGAAAGAAAGAGAGAGAGAGAGAGAGAGAGAGAGAGAGGTTGAGAACGAGAGGGAAAAATCAGCAAACAATTTTCAAAAGAATTTGATGCGATAAATTGACTATAAACATTCTCGCAACTGAATTCAAAAAATTTTCCACACCGACGAGTTGATTGATACGGCTATTTATCCGTTCACAAAGCAGAAATGAGTGAAATACTTGCAGATAACACAGACACACACACACACATACGTGCTCGCTGGCATGTGATGTGATGCGATAAGATACGAACATAAACCATGTATCGTACGATAAGGACTTTATCTGCATTTTTCCCGTTTAAATGCTTCAACTGAGATTGCCTTCAAATCAATTCCAACTTATGTTGTTATTGATGCCACTGCTATGGTTGCCGTTGCCGCTGTTGCAAACGTGCAGCCAGAATGGCACAGCATCTATTAATGAATGAGAGGCATCCACAATTGAATAACGAGTGCCAAATCTGGTTGTCTCAAAAGAAATGATCTGAATTTATCGATCGATCGATCGTTGATGCGACTGAAAACCGAATTTCAACTGCTACGAATATAGTAAAGTGGCAATCCAAATATCAAATGGTTACACCCTAACAGTTATATCAATTGGTAGAGCTTTTGTGAAACCAATTTGCTTAGGCTGAAACTATCAAATTGGGCTTCGAAAATTTGGCAGCTGAGCGACAGTGCAGAAATGACGTGAATACGGTAGCAAACTCTGCTACATAGTCGAGTCAAGCCGACAACCATACACACAGTGTAAATCTGATAAACTAACGAATTGGAATCAACAATGAGAATGAACGACCGTGCACTCTCTCTTTCAATTCGACGCAAAATGTGCACGATGAACACAAGCCGCGCTAGCACACATACATCCAACACCCAACATCAATAGCTAGTGAAAAGCAAACAACAGCAATTCTGGCACGCGAATCACTCCTTCCTGTATGTAGAAAGCAGAGCACATCGATATTTCTATGCCAATCTCTGCGTTCAACATAAATATTGCTTTTTGTTTGTTTTTATTCACTTGCGAAAATTGCGATCGACGTCTCGCGCGTTCTAAATACTTCCATAATACATTGCCATTTGCGTTTTAATGGCCACATTCACGTTATCGACTCGGGTGGGAGAGCCTGTTCACACACAGAGAACCACCCATGACCAATCTACATGCACCAGCACATGCATCAAATATTTGCATTGTGTCCGATTCACATTTTTGATACACCATTAAGTGATGCAGTTACACAACAAACGACTACACCAACAACAATGTTTACTTATTTCCCATTTCCACTCAACGAATTTCTGCATAAAAGTTCATATAATTCGGATCGTGTGTATCATAGCCGCTTTCTCTCTCTCTCCCTCTCTCGCATTTCCTCTAGAATGATTTTTGCCATACGTATGTCTATTGTACGTGTGTGCGTTTACACAAAACTGGAAATGTTACCGTGTTCTCGTTTGAATGGTTTTGCGGCACTAGAGCGCATACCTTGACTGTTGTGGTTGTACCAGCACATTAGCTTACTGAAACATGATTTCAATTACACGGACCACAAAACGTGAATCTCATTGACTTTTTCTATTTTTTTTTACAAAGAAAACCCATGTTTCTGAGCTCCTATTAACAAACTCGTTAGCTCAACAGTCATTACGTAATTTAAATGAAGATTAAATGAAGAGCTTGTACAAATACAAATACAAATACAAATACAAATCGCTCGTCATCGAATGAAGAGCATTTTTCGATCATTTTTTTGAAAACACAGTGAGATGACGATGAGAGAAAAAAGAATGAACGAAAATATTTAGTCACTATGATTAAAAGTTCGAGCTTTCGGTTGAGCACTTTTGTACAAGAGTCTCTTGGCTTTTGTCAGAAGAAATGATAAGTGGGGAAATTTTTGAAGAATATTTACTTTTATACTGGCAACTGGAGTTTACATTGTTTTCGGTTTGTATTGCAATTGCAATTGCAATTGGAAACTTCAAAATTAGTATCGTTCCAGTGAATAATAATGGCAAATTCATCAATCAGAATTTATGTTACAAGGAGCGAGCGAGAGAGAGAGAGAGAGAGAGAGAGAGAGAGACTGGCCGCAGCCGCTCATTTCGTTTTTATGCAACTTTTTGAATGGTTTTCAATAACTTTCAAACAGCGACTTGTTCAAACCGCAGATGAAAATCGAAATGCAAACAGTACGCGTAAAATGAAAGCCGTGTGTAGGAAATTCGAGAGCATCAAGCATCATATTTCGGAATATTTCGCTCTTGCTCATAAATAATGAATCTGTCAATGGTGCACACTTTTACTCCGTTTTCGAGTAGACAATTGTCACAATATTAAAAGTTATTCCCATTTCCATGGCACATCCAGAACCACATTGACGTGAAAGAAAAAAACATCCGAAATAAATTGCTTCCCTTTTGTTTTCGTGCCGTTGTTCCAATGTTTTAAATTTTCCTGTGGTCAATTCTATCACATTCGTTCGCTAACTAGAATTTTCAACACAATTCTGTCGCCGTTTCGCCTCTCCAATGTCCGTTGAGCGTCCCATCATTTTCGCTTAATTTTTTTTTTTCAAGCGTTTCATGATGAATGCAGTAAATAACAACTTAATAAAGTTGTTAGCAGCCAACAAAAAAAAACCACTCCTCGTCATTTCGGGACTTTTCGGCTCGCAATGTGCGACTAACAACTTTCTTTTTGCATTTGCAATAAGTAAAAATCATATATTGTTGAAGGACTTTTGTGCCATTAATTCTCTGCTGAATAGTTTAATTTATTAAACATTTAAATGTTGAGATTTGAGTGGTTGAAATCAAACATTTCCCGTTTTGTCGGTCATTTATTATACGGCCGAATTAAATTTCTGTTCTTTTTTTTCTGTCAATGCGCAAATGGTGCATTTACAAACGAGTCGAGCATTGATTTAACATTGACATTCGACAGCATCATGTACAAGCTCAATGAATGAGTTTTATTCAAATTGCGACAGCATTATTTGCATTCGGTTGCCAGGTACACAAAATATGTGCTCATAAAAAATGATGTAGATTTTCAAGTGGCAATCATCAGCAATGCACGTGGAAAAAAGGATGGGGCGATAATTAAAACAAAAGTGCCACAAATGACAATGTCCGAATCCGTTGAAAATGCATCAACTTGTGTCTGTTCATATCATATGTGTGAGAGAAGCGTAGATGAGCGCTGCAATCAAAGCAAAATATGAAATGCAAAAATTGCATCAACTCGAAGATGTCTACATGAATGAAAGCCTCACTATTACGGCATCGCCAAACAATGACAATATTTTGCATTTTAAATCACAAGCATTTTACTAAAACAATTATTTTCAAAAGCAGACAGATTCACGGAAATTTAAACGGAAATAAAAGTTGCCCGTGCCAAATTTTTTTTTTTTTTGCTCACTCATTCGTTCATTTTTATGTTGCATCGTCGGACTTTTCCATTTAGTTGCTCTTGTTGTGCCAATTGCAGATTTGTGAGAGCTATTTTTTCCTCAATTCGTTTTTCTGCTCATGGTGGTCGTCGTTGTTGTTGTTTTTTTCATTTCTAGAATTTTATTGCGTGTTGCCATCTGTTTTCTATGTGTGACTGTGCATAATATCTCGTGCAGTTATTTTATACTATGTAAACATGCAACGTATGACAATAAACAACAACGATTAACGACAGCCAATGGAATCGCCTGCCTTGAATTATATTATGATATTTGTGATTTCTGTCTCTTCGCACAGAGAGAAACGGAAGAAGCGACGGAGAGAGCGGATTGGAGCAGCATGAACGCGGCATGAACGCGCCAAAAACGTTTTGTATTTTGGAATCAGGCGTGAGAAACACATGTTGTTATTTTGATGGGTGGAAATAATTTTTACCTATTCAATGGAAAAGCTGACATTCCAGCCCAGTCAGCGTGACACTTTAAATTCTGTTTAATGAAAATATAACCGCCGTTGCGCGTGCAACAAACACTATTAGTTTTCTATTTGCGTCTGTACGTTACAAATAATAATCAAATCACGAATAAGCGTTTGGCGTCAAAATTTACATGTAATGCAATTTGTAGAATGAAAAAAAATTCAATTATTGTTCTCTTCTCTTCTTTCCTCCCTCTTTCTCTCTCTCTCCCTCCCTCTCTCTCCCGGTAATTTTAATTCTAATTTTATTATGTACTTAAATATATGTGTCATGCACACGCAATAACGTACAATCGATGCAAAATGCAATTTTATTTATCCAAATGGCCAACGACGGCGACGACAACAACAGCAATGGCAGTAGCACCACCGACTAAAAACAATTCTTTGATTTTATTATCAGAAAAAATGCGGCTGTTGCTGCCATTCTCCCTCTAGCTGAATCAATCATTTTCAGTGGCCATGACAGCCTTAGAGCAAAATAAGTTGCATTTTCAATCACATTGTTGCTGTTTGGAAAAAAAATCCAACAAATCGGGTGAAAAATGTAATTGAGTTTTATCCTGTTTTTTTTTACCATTATAAAAAATCAAAAATAAAAAAACCCAATTAAATCACAAGCCATCGATTTTCTGCGACATTTCATTGAAATTAATAGCTTTCTCTCTAATCAACGTCAACATCGAATGATTCCATTAGTTTTTCTATGTGGTTTGCCATAAGCACAGTACATTGTTGGGTATTGCTCTGAGGCTGCCATCGGGCAGTCACTTGGACATTTCATAATGCACCGCACACACACACACACACATACGCATACACTCACGATTTGCATTCATGTTGAGCAAATTCTACAAGCATAAATGAACACAAAATTGTGTCTATTGTGTGTATGCAGAAGTTTATATTTGCTTATTTTTTTCCCTCTTTGTCTGCATTCCAGCCCGCGCTCGAATCGCGTAACGTATTGGTATATTCTGTTACACATATATGTAGAATTAATTGGTATGTTTTTCTACGTAAAAACGCTTAACAGACGAATAATTTATGCATTTAATGCTACAATTGCTTCTGCCTTTGAATAAACAGTGGCGCTGCTACAATTGTCCGAATGCACGCACTCAAATCTCAAAATGAACACACATACACACAAACAGAGAGTGAATGAAACACGCGGAGCGCGGCAACGATGAAAAAAAAAGTACAGCAGAAAAAAACGATTATGTTGCAACTATATTTGAGACAGGTCATTCGGCTCGGCCGCAAACTTCATTTATATCCATAATTTTTTTTTGTTCGTGCGTTTGTTATTGTCTTCCTCGATTTTTTTCCATTCTATGGCCATTTTATATGGATATAACTTTGTGAGTGTGTGTGTGTGTGTGTGTGTGTGTGTGTGTATGTTGGAATCAGTATGAAAATTTACAACTATTTATGAGTTCATTCACTATCAACATTTATGGAATGTGCGAACTGCAGCAAGAGAGAGAGAAAGCGCGAGAGAAATAGAGAACGAAAAAGAGCCCAGAAATCACATACACACGCACATTCTCAACTGAAATTCATTTGAATATGTCGCCGCATTTTATTTTGCCCACTTCGTTCTTAATCATTCCTGTTGGCTTTTATTTTATTTTAATTTTTTTTTCTCTGTGTTAATGTGGCTATTGGTTGCCAACCAAAGTGGGACACAGAGAGAGACAGTGTGGTAGAACCGACGCACAGAAAAAAAAATCCCTCTTAATATTGTTATCGTATTATTCTCCGGATTAAATTTCTATCTATATTCTACAGTGAGTGCATTTTGCAGGCTTCAATGGCGAATTGATATGCTTAACGCTTGTTTTCACACAGCATGCATTTCATATGGCCCGAGTTTTGTAGAATGCATTACAAAAAAATGAAAACACAATTTTGAGAAAGTTGTGTTCTGCTTATATTCGCTTGCGGATGCCGTGATTGTTTCTAATGGCTATAGAATGTGTGTTAGAGGGACCAACTATAGCAGCAACATATATCACATTTGAATATAAAATAACCGCTGAAATCTGTCAAGCAAATGCTATACCATTTGACATTTTTCAGCGTGAAAAAACGGACGCTGTACGGTAGTCACGTCCTGTTGCGATTTGCATACACATTGTATACTGAGCGATAGAAACCCTCGCATAATTTTTTCTCTCTCTCTCTCTTCTTTTTCAACATATTCATTGAATATTATTCAAGCCGGACGATGCACAATTGCACATACAAGTAAGTTGCTGACCTTTTTTTCTCTGCCATTGATTTCTGAAATGTTTTGCCTGCTATTCATAAATATACACAAGAGCAGCAACACCAATTTTGCCAAACAAAGTACAAATATGCATTCACATACATTTTATATCTTGCGCCATACCTATCGATCCGAAATCTAGCACTCAATGGAATTATTAAAATGTAAAATTTTAATTGAAATAGCAAATTTAATGATTTGGATTAAATCGGAAAATGTTCCATTTGCTAAAGACATACACATTAAGATACACAAACAAAACCACACACTCATCATAAATTCATTTGGATTGAATCAGGGAACTTTTGGGTTCATTGCGTACGCTTATTAGTGTTTTGCAATTTAACCTAATATGCGTTGGATGAAGTATATGTATCTTAATAATGCCCATGTAAAAGACTCATCATTCTACCAAACGTTGTAATGTAAAATTGTGTATTCGATTAAAGGTGCTACATATTTCTTCGGGCTATTTTTTTTCTCTCTATGCATTTAAATCCAATTAGAACATTTTCTTGCATCCAATAAATAGTATTTAGTAAGTTAAGTCTTGCGTAAAATAGCCTCTTTTGCGAAATATTGCATGAAATGTGGAAGTTTATGGAATGCGTGTCGTCTTTCAAATGAATTGTGTTCAAGTTTGAAAAGTGTTGCTCGACTCCTTCATCCTACCCCATGTACCTACCGCTCGTAGTGTTTGCTGGAATATTCGTTGGTATTGTATGCCACCGAGTAAAGGTGTTATAATACTATCTTTTTTATGTTGATTGGTAGCAAGTTGCCGGCTGCAAACTTGCATAAATGATGATAGCGTCAGAAAACAACGAAGTGTAAACGGTATCGAGTTGAAGGACGATAGAAATGGAAAATTCATAAAATGACAAAGAATATGCTGTTTCACGCATCATTATATTTAATGAAGTTGTTCCACTTTCAGCTTCAAAGCTGGAATGGTTGGACTAGTTGTTTCTATTTTGCACATAACTCATAATGAAAATTAGTATTAAGCCCGTTCTAAATCTTTGAACTATTCAACTGTTGAGTTTTTCTACAGTTTCAACATGGTATAGAAAAACTTTTAATATTGTTATGAAAATCAAGTTGTCATTGACTAACATCGAAAGTTTAGGAATAAATTTAAAAAAAAACCACGATTTCGAACTTAAGAGAGTGAGCACGTCTTATTTTTGGAATCTTTTCTTTTGAAAATGGTCGAATAAATGAACGATTTCTTGGTCCTTTTTATGAATTAATCCACTCATTTCGTATTGAGCGAAACGAAGAATACAGTATCAACCCTATAAACTATTCACACAACATTCAGCAAATATTAATTAGTTTATACTCACTATCGATAATGTGGAGCCCATGTTTGCAGACGCTTGACTAGTACTACCATTTCGCAGTGTACAGTAGTTGACTGGCGCGTGGCCCGTATGCATTGGTACACTAGCTGATACATATTGTTGGTTTGGTATTGCATTCACCGCACAACTAACGTTGCTGCTTCCACCACGCTGTGGACTGTTTGTGTCAATCGTTGAAATGTGCTGTCTTCGATGAATATACTCAATCTAGAACCGGGGACATAAAATAAGGTAGGTAAGTATATGTAGTGTGATGATATTAGTTTCATTTTATTTACAGCTATATTCATTGAGTTTGAAAAACTATTGCAACGCTTAAAGTGAAAACTTTAAAGCAATGCAAAACAGATTGAGTGAAATGGTACGAGACGGTAACGGAGACCGACTGAGAAAGTCGGAAAAGTTTGTTGTATATCCAAAAATGGGAGAACGTTTTCGAGTTTTTGCATTTCGAAAATGCTTAGATACCGATTGGCTATAAAAAGCATGCAGTAGAACGATTCGACATTTCACAATGTCGGGTGCGAAAGCCGACACAATTTCGACATTCCATCATGCGGAGGATGTGCATTTAATCTCTTTGTCACTTGTTGTCACATGATCGTTCGAATTGACTGAAGAGATCCAAAAACTTTCCGCAATAAACAAAGAGTTCACATGGAAAACGGTAGAGAAATGATAGAGCTCAATGGAGACAGCGAGCCGAAGGGAGCAAAGGATATAGAGAGAGACAAATGAGAAGAAGTGACTCTCACAGTTTAATTAGTGTTGAACTATCGAAATAAAGCCAAAGCATTCCATTTCATTCAGCAGAGCGTTCGTCAGTAACCGGGTGTCGAAAATGGAAAGCTCAGGTATGTTCCATATATTAAACTTATTCATTTTGATGGTGATTCCCACCGAAATTATGCTCGAATTTTAAGTCTTTATTACAAAATTTATAGCATATTTTACACGAATATTCCGGCATCAACATTCCAATGGTACATGTCGGTCGCTGTCTCAGACACACATAAACACACGCACACTCAACCTTTTGCACATCTATATCATTTATATATGCACGAGATAATAAAGAGGATATTCTCAGCTAAATGAAATTGGCATGAGAATGTACGTACACACTTCTGAGGAGGAGGAATAAAATGAAGCTGAAAACGTTATCGTACATTGCTCGCATCATTTATGTTCGCATTTACTAATTATACGGCATAAATAATGGGAATTAGTTCAAATGGATGAGATCGGGACTGGGTGAAAAATGTACACCGCATGACACAAAATATTTCCAATTTGAATGATGCATTTATTAACAAACGAAATAATGACATTTCATTCCAGCTGAATGAACACGTTTGACATAATGCTTAGACAAAAACGATGATTGATGATGGATTTAATAGTTTAAGCATTGAAGAAACTATGCCTGTGCATTCCCATGTTGCATTGTTTAAATTCATATCATTTTCTCAATCAAATATTTGACGAATTTAATCGAATATGCTTCTTCTGTCAAATCACTTTTTTGAAGCGATGCATAGCATCGATATTTCATCGAATTTCAAATTCGAAAATGTTCATCAAAATTGAATTATGTTTTTCGCTTACCTGATCATCTGAATCTACTGTGTCGGGTATAATGTCCGGGTTCTTTTCATCGCTTTCGTTGCCATCGAGCTCTCTGCTGCCAATACTTTTGTCACTTGGACCCGGTGATCCTTCACCGGTTGTTGTACCTTGCGACAGTTCTTTACGTTTGAAACGACTTCGACGTCTACCTCCACACGGTAATCTCAATACCACAATTATGGCCAGCGCACCAATCACGAGCGCAGCGGATAGGCCAATAACCACAGAAAGCATCGGTGTCAGAGCGATCGGTGCACGGGGTCGTTCTATTCAAAATCATACAATGAAATTCAGATGAATAAGTGATTCATTTTTTTTTTCGTAATGTGCATTCACAGATTTTTCATTTCAATTGTAATATTATTTTCATCTGTATAAACGTGGAATTTTTCATTTTCAATATGATGATTAGAATGTATTTCTATGGCAATCAGTGCGTGTATAATCATCTCGCTTCCACGAAGAATCGTGCAAACCATTCATGTTTCATAAATGCATTGTTTCTTCGTGGTATTCGCTTGAGAGAAAAAAAAAACGTTTGCATTTTCACGTCAATTTCTTTCGATGCAGAAGAATAAGAAACGGAAAAAGATGACGAAAAAACACAAAAAAGAGAATATAAATAAAGAGCAACGTGAGCTGGGTACAATTCACAATGAGAGAGAGTGAATGTAGACAACTGGCGAAATATGAATAATTTATTTGCTATTTGCATCATTGCTGGTATCTTTTTCGACAAGCATTACTTTCACGAAACCTGAACTGGAGCGCACGAAAAATACAAAACAAAATAGAAAATTTAGTGAAAATGCACGAATAAGAAGGGAAAAAAAGATATCACAAGGCAGCGACAACGAGTAGCCGTTCAACTAAACGAAAGCAAGGCACCTTCCGTCTACTGTTTTTTTTTCGTCTTTCCGTTTCGTTCCTTCATCTCAGACGTGCTGTACAAAGCATAAAAATTAAAGGATTTGCTTGTCATTTGAGACATTCTTTGTTTTCGGTGAAATGTGCTATTTTGTCATGGCTGAAAAATGGCCAAGTGAAAACTAAGAAAGATAAAAATGTGAACAATTGTGCATTTCCAGTGGTGTGAACACACACATATAATATATTCATCCAAAGCGGTGTAAACTTTTCTGCATGTCTACTTCTGACAAGGTGTGTCAAAACAGTGAACACAGAAAGCAGAAAAAAACGAAGGAGAAGAGTAGAAAATATATACATTTGGTTTTCGCTTACCTTTTTCGGCAGTGAGTTGCTTTTCGGCGGGCCGAAGCATGGCTGCTGGCAAAACAGCCGGATCCGAACGTCCTTTCGAGTTGAACGCGTAAATGGAAATAATGTACACGCTGCCCGGATGTAAATTTGAAACAGCAAACCTTGCCACTGGTGATGTGAAATTTGCTCGTATATCCTATGGCCGAGGGATGGAAAGAGAACAGCACCAACAGCGAAACGAAAAGAAATATGAAAATTGTTTTATTAGTTATGACGAATGGTGACAGCGAGCACAGTATATACGACACCGCGAAATGAATCTCCAGTGTGCGATTTCTTTGTGCCGCCTTGTGCTTGGCATCGTAAACATTTATATAAATTCTTTTATGGTTTTTCTGTGTGACTTTCACAAATTGAATTAACGCACCATTTTTTTGTCATTTCAATGTGCATTGAAGTCATTTCATATTACCTGTGTGCTCATGTCACGCACTTCCAGCATAAATGATTGAGTGAGGCCACCGTTGAAGCCCTCCAAGCATTTGATACCCAGCGATGTCATCGAAATATTGGTTATCGTACAATTATGCACTTGATCGGGTCGACCTGCAATCAACATGTCATTTTCAATTGTTTGAACGAATGAAAATAGATATTTTCAATGGACGGGTTTTAGTGTCAAATTATTTCGCTCTTTCACCACATCATCCATTCATCACACTGTAAATCGAACATGGAACATTGTGAATTTGACACTTCCGTTTCACCGAAACGATATTAACACACACACACACACATTTATGCAATGACCGAAGCAAAAATTCTCTCTCTCCCTCCCTCTTGACATTTGAATTTGAATTTTACACGAGTCGACGCTGTTCGGCACAACTCACTTTCTATATGTATGAACAGAACATTGAATATTGAGTTTCCAGGCCGCCTATACACACACACACAGAGAGAGAACATTTTCGAGAAGGCGATTCGATTTAATTACTTGAGAAGAAAAAAAAAGCATTTCTGTTTAATTCGACACAAGCCGTACATTTCATATTTGATCATGGTCATAAAAGTTTGGCCGGTTTTATGTTAGCGCTACATCGTTCCCACCGCAAAATGGTTGCTGTGCAATAACAATAAAAAGAATATGCTCACACAACATGAACTTTACATAGCCCTGACAATTGTGTGATCAAGTGTACAGAAACAGCAGCATCAGAAGTAGATGTTCCAGCAGCAGCGGTCGACACTACATGCAGATACACAAAAGTCACGTTGCAGTTGATTGAACAAGAAAAAAAGCATTAACAACAAGTAAACAAGTTTTTTTGCCCCATTCTTTTTGCTCCTTTCGTTTCCAGAATTCAATAATCCATTTAGGGGCAGAGAAAATGGGAGAGAGAGAGAGAGAGAGAGAGAGAGAGAGAGAGCAAAAAAAAAAGACGAAAGCAACAGCACACGGAAATGGGAATTGAAGCTTAAGAAAATGACAAACGAAGTCGCCGTTGGAGGTCGCATGTTATCCACAGACTTTTTTTTTCATCGTTGCCACAGTGAGAAACATCTATATAACAATTGAACATCGAAAGCGTCTTTCGCTCGAATTGAAAAGAAGCAATGGACGATCGAACATACATGCAACCAAATCTAAAATACAATAAACACCAATACAGACACACAATCGCATCACAATGCACTAGAGGGAAAAAATATTGTGTACTTGGTACATGTTCATTCGCTCTTCATTTTCATGTACTAACAAAGGAGAAGGGGAAAAAATAGCGATGGATATGAAAAAGATTGTGTGTGACACAGAAGAGCGCATCTCGTTCGAAACCACAACTAAATAAAACTCATTATTTTTAGTACTTGACCTTTGTGCAACGATCACAAAATGGATGTTAAAGAGGAAGAATTGATGTGAACAATTCCACAGCACAATTATGGTAGTGTGTGTTTTTTCAGTTGCTTTGGCTGGTGGAAGGAGAGCGACACAGATAAAATTGACATTATTGAACTAGTTGAACACTGCAGGCGAGGCAAAAATGTGGCAAATCAATGGAAAATGAGCAGTCGTGATCTTCGATATTCCATCGTAAATCGGAATCATGGAAAAGAAAATGCTGCCGGCCAGAAGAGATGCGGATTTATAAATTTTAATAAAGGTATGTTAAATACCAGGAACTAAGGTTTGCCGTGAAGATTAAGGCGGATGTGTTGATTTGAATCGCATAGTTAATTAGCCTTAGGCAGCCGCTTGGCTTTAATTTCGTGATAGGCCAATTCTTCCACCACATGTACATCCACCTACAAAAATCCCACTCTAATGCTCTCCCTTTTTTTCCTGTTAAGCGTTTAAAAAAAGCCATTGGGCAACTTGTGCTGCCAGCGGACGAATGGCACGTCGTTTAAAGACATTCGGAAAATCTGTAAAGCGAGTAAAAGTGTGTGTTTATTTATAGACGAGAGGGCTTTTCGTTCTATTCCATTGGCCGATACAATAGGAACACGAGTTCAACGGGAAAACAGAGAATAGAGACGAGAAAAACAGATTGAAATAGGAAAAAAATGTGAGAGCATGAGGGAAAAAAGTGGGCAACAAGAAAAAACTTGGAAAAAAATCGACGAGAACAAGATTAAACGAAAGAAGCAAGCAGCCTTCGAAGAACTAATGGTGGTAGTGAAGAGCGCCAGAAGAAGATATACACAAATGATTCGGAAAATGTACAAAATGCGAGTGCATGTCGACATCGAAGAGCGTTCGTAACAATGTTTTCATTCTTATTATATAGTTTACTCCATGCTAAAAAAAAAACGGGCGAGAGAGAGGGACGAAACACAGGATCACAATTCAGTTCACATTGTCCATCGTATTTGATTTTATTATTACAGATTTTGCCGGGTATTTGCTTTTTTTCCTTTACAAGGCTTTCGTCGATTCCGTCGTTTTTCCATCAGGGTGAACGAAAGGGTGAATCGCTTTCTTGCCGCTACACTGTTCATTGGATACAAATCCAAAAGAATTCGTTTGAATTAAGAGTTTGACTGGCAATTCGTTTCCATATCCAGCCATCGTTGTAAACGATTCGACAAACGAATAAACTGCCCGAACGACCGACGGACCTGTACTAATTTTCGAAATGGAAAATATTTCTGGAAAATTATATCCACATACCAGGTATAGTAATGTGCAAGACACACGGCAGCACAGTCGAGCACACGATATCAAACGAAAGAGAGAAATGGCATAAAATAGGAACAAACAAAAAAGAAAAATCCAAGACTGGATCGTAGAACTTGCAACCAAAATTGTAAAGTGAGAGGCGAAAATATGGAAGAGAAAGAGTGAGAGAGAGAGAGAGACCGAAAAAAATGCACGACCTGCAAAGACGAACGAGCAGCGATAGCAGCAGAGCAAATGAAAAATATAAAAATCTGTAGAGCAAAATAACAATACATAGCCTGCAAGTATAGAAGAAATTGAAAGAGCGCAAATCCATTCGAATAAAGTAGGAAAGAAAAACGTCTGCAGAATGCAGTCATGCAGAAGACATAACGATGGCAATATGATAGGAGCGAAATTCGGAAACAACAACAGCAGCAGCAACAGTAATCTGAAACGTTTGGGTATGTGTGCATGACGCTTTTCGCGCAACATGCATTTTATTTGTTGCTGCGGAATAACAATAAAACAGTCAAAACTTGAGATTATGCTAAAAATGCACCTGCCGTTTGAACGCAGCCACCGGCGGAGAGCATCAGGCACGATCAATACAAATGCGATATACATTGCTTTTTGTGTATATGTGTGTGTGTGTGCGTGTATCACAAAAACTCAAGGGGTCGTTTAGAAGTTTGAAAATTCAATTCGATGCACAATGGGAAAGAATAAAAAGAACATTGCGAATGTATATTGTTAACCATTGTAAATGATAAGCTGTAACGGATAATATGTAAGTCGTTTGGTTTGACCTATCGAAAAATTCGATTATCCATTCGAATTACCTAGTCGGAACTCACTGGACGAAAAGGAAAAAAAACAGCAGCGTTCAAAATCACAAGATGCAATCGATGTCATCAATTGGAATAAAATGCTATTAATTTTTTTTTGTATAATATTAAATTGTTCATTCCCCTTCACAGAGAGATTTTTTAGTTCGATGATCTTCAAAGTGGTGACATAAGAATTTATTTGACTGTTATCGAGTTTTCGGATTCTTTTCGCACCGTTGCAATTTTGATTTCATTTGTGAATAAATGAAAATGAATATATTGCTATATCATAATGATCAAAGTTCAATTAAACAGTTGTTGTTTTGCTTGTTTCCAATTCATTGGGCCTCAATTGCTCAGATTAAGAAGCTCATTCACTGTTCGTAGCATCGAAAGCCGTCGTTGTATTCTAATTTCGGATTGGCATTTTTATTGTACACCATCTGAATAGCGTAAAATAAGGTAATCCGATGTAGATTTTCAAAAAAAAAAATAAACAACAGCAGCGTCAAGCGTTTATGAATACAAATTTTCGTTGGTTCGCTTCATTCGAATTATATTCTCAGTTAGTTTCGTCTGGTCCATCAAAACTATATTATTTGGCAGGCGCTTTAAATTTCCATCACGTTTGTGTTTATGCGCGAATACCAGTCGAGAGTACATCAGCAGTGCAAAGCGAAAATCACTGCGAATAAATTTTGAGACTCGGATAATAAAAGGCGCTGCGGCAGGCATTCACCCGTTTCGACTCACACATATTTCACATGTTATAACGATTTCGTATACGAATTTCCAGAACGTATGAGACACAACAATGAATATGGTTTTTATTTTTGTTACTTTTCTTTATTTCCTTTCTTTCGAAGCGGTATATTTAAGCGCGGGTGGCATTCGTTAGTGCGCTTGCTTCTGGTACATTTTTTAGCTAGCTCTTGCATGTCCCTGTGTGTTTGCGCATTCTATACAAACAACCTTTGGAATCAATTGGAGAGTTTGCGATGCAGCTATTTTGTTAGTAGAAAATAGTATTGCAAACCGTTGATTCTCTCTTTCTCTCCGATGAAATTTCAAATAATAGCAGGAGAACAATGTGCTAACTTTCATATCCAAAGCTAGATTTTCTCCCAAATTTATCGGAGAGCTGGGGCTTTTTTTTCGCACGGTTTCTCTCTCACACTCGTTTCCATTCCGCCTCTAGTACACAAGGAACGAAATGTTTGGCATTTAGAATTTTGCACAATTTCAAACGTCCAAACAGATCGGAAAAAGCAACGAGAGAGAAAACGCATAACAACAAACGGAACACAGCAAACGTTTCTGATATTTGTGCAATTTAGATTTATTTGTAGATAAGCACCCAGCGAATTGTTGAGAATGATTCTGTTTGCAAACAAACGTAAAGCGATAACAAGACGACAACGAGGACGACGACGACGAAAACGAATAACAACAATTTGGTTTGATACGAGAGGGAGAAAGAGAGAGAAAACAGACGATGAAAATAAACGACAACATCAAATTTTGGAAGGAAAATTAGAATGTGTGTGTGTGTGTGTGTGTGCAAGAGCAGGAGCGAGAGGGAGATGAATAGTAAGAAAGAGCGGGCACATAGTTGTTTATTTATTGTGAAGGATGTTTATATTACTAACAAAAATAGCAATAAAATTATGGAAAATAGTTCCATTTCGGCGTTTTGTTCCTAGTGTATTTTGGCTTTTTTTATTTTTCTTCTCTCCATCTTTTTTTTTCTCGACAGTATTTCTCCGGGGCAGTATTCTTTTATGTTCACGTTCAAATGTGAGCGAAAACACATTTTATAGCGTTTAACCGAAAGCATCGGGTGGTAAGGTATGATTCCCGGCTTTTCCCATTGTTCACGTAGATCTTTCATTTAAATAACCAAATGTTTGACATGAAACGGCAACAATAAAAGTTGCCCCAAAATGTTGTTTCAAATCCAACCAAAAAGCTAAATACAATTTTAATTGAAAGCAACTATTCAATTGATAATATTGAAGCACAATTTTTCAACAAACAAATCATCCAAATGATGTTGTCACCCTATGGAACAACTACTTCTATCACTACACAAAACTGAGTCACGAGTATTTGCTTACGCATACGTGAAATTCATTCGATATGATTACAGTATCCGGAGTTATGATGGCTATATACACATATCACTGTGTGTCTGAAGCAATGTACTGAACTTCAATTTTGGGGTTTTCATTCGAAGTTTCGAAGCGTTTGGGTTTCCAATTTCGGTAGTGACACTTTTGTGCGTACTTAAAGGCCTATACACATCAATTTGATACGGCGATATGGAGCCGTGTCTACTCCGCAACATACATCCAAACAATATACGAATTACTCAGATCTCAACAAATATTTTTATTTGGCATCTTTACTTCTTCTCCTTTTCGACTCTTTCTTCTGGCACTGCTGCTATCGTTGTTGTTGCTGCTTCTGCTATCTTGTGTTGTGTTGTTGACAAACATTTTTTCTAGTTCTTCGTATTTCTTGCAATTTTATTGTTTTACTTGTCGCAACTTATTTGCCATAATTTCAGACATGTTTTGATTATTTACTTGTCTGCGCAATTCCAACTATTTAGACAATAAGATTAAATATTTGGGAGCAAAACATGGGGATGGAAGAGAAGGATATTCAAGTTTTCCGGCTATGTTCTATACGACATAAATACATGTCAAAAATGATTGTGACACACACACAAACAAGCATCATAATTTTGCACAGTTCCGTTGCCATTCCCCTTGATTTGATTGCATTTACACAAAAACAGTGTTTTCAGTTATTTGATTTGGAATTTGACGTTAAAGCCAGCATTTTTGGGATTTTTGGTGGTGCATACAACGGGATGCAAATGTTGTAACTGCATTTATTCACGAAACAAGCAAACGCAAACTAACATAAACACATACCATTCGTTCCATCCATCCTATTTTTCGTGTACAATTTATATAAATACCTATATTTACATTAAACAATTTGTTTCGGTTGAAAAATTTCGGTAACATTCCATTCCAAATTGCAAACTAGTTTTCGCACAGATTTTACTTTGGATTAAACGCAAGCGAGTGAGCATGACAGTGAGTGCGAACAAAGAACGAATGAGAGCAAGCAGAATGAAGAAGGATGCAAAAATACACATATGCAACGAGAAAAAAAAACGGCAACGAACATAAAAATAGAATTTTTGGCCGTAATGTCGAATTTAAAAGTTGGCACCGCATGTTAAATGCAAACAATCATGCGATAAATGTTTGGATGCGACACATATCCCTGGCAAAAGGCAAACACTTGAAGTTTTTGGGCAGGAATAGTTGAAGCTTGTTAGCCAAAGTGTCAACCTGTTTATGACAGTATATGCGTTTGTGTGTGTGTGTGTGTGTGTGTGTGTGTGTGTGTGCGTTGGACAGACGATAAAATGAAAACTTCTACAACAAAAATTTATCTCATCAAATGACTAACAATTTTTATTTGACAACTACTACATTCTCTACCGATTCTATTAACATTTCAGCAAAACTCTCCAACTCTCTCAAGAAAGGTCTCTGTTTTTTCCCTTATTTTTGATGGTTTTTAATGTATGGCTTCGCAATATATTCACATTTTAAGTACAATTTCATTTGTTGGTTATTGATCGAATTTCCCGAGATTTAGTATTAAAACGCAAGCGACTGGAAATGGTTGCTGGATTTGCCAACAGAAGCATAAATTGCATGTGTGATTGTATATAATTGCAGTGTGATATAATTAACCCAGATCAAAATTGTGCGACCACTAAGTGGTTTTTGACCACTTGCACACTGAACATAATCAAATAATTTCATATTTACAAAGTGTTTATTTGCACGCGATTCCGTTGAAGCTTTATTTCTCTAAAAAAAAAGAAAAAGAAACTCATAGCAAGTGTGAATTGCGTGCATTGCCATTGATTAAAATGGCTTTGCGTCGACTGATTGGTTGGTCGTGCACGTGAAAGCTTGAATTATATCTTAAATCGAAACATTGAACGATCCACGCACACACTCACAATGTTTCTTCCATTTGGAACGAAACAATGGCGATTTTCTTTTAACGTTTTATCGGAAAACAGCAGGATATTGAAAAATTGTTTTCATTAACTTGACATTTTAATTAGTATTTGCTATTGCACAGTAATCGCAATATGAATTGTTTGCATCAGTGCTCAGTTGTTGCTCTTTGGTGGCCAACACCCTTGGTAACATAAACAAACCGTAAAACTGAAATCTCACAATGTAAACCACACACACTGCGCCCTGGGATCATCATCCGCAGCCATTACCAGTGCATTCAGAATTCATTGATTGCCAGGAATCGATAACCAATCCGGCCTATATTCATGCAGTTTCAATTACACATATCCTAAATCATGATAGTTTTGAACGCATGTACATACACATTGTGCACCGATAAATTGCGAACAAGAGTCATAAATTATGTTATAAATATGGACGTAAAATATCAACCCTCAAAAGCCAAAATTTTGTATCGGCCAAACCGATTCGGAGATAAAGAGAAACAGAGGGGACAAAAGCAAATTGTCGAAGAGAAATTATCCACTGAAATCATCAGGCTATTCAACCGTTTAATGCCCAAACATTTCCATTTCGATGAAACTAATTCAATGCGAAGAAAATTGCATAATTTGCTTGTTTACAACATTTACCCAACTTAAATTGATTAGGTTTGATGCATTTTCGTCGATGATTTGTCAGAGATAAAGCCGTGCATGAGTTAACAACGGAACCTATCACAAGCACTGGATGCAATGCAAAGCCAATCCCTTTCGGTTTTCCCTCAATTTTTAAATATTTAAACTCGATCATTTGGATTTGTTGCAAAACCACAAATAATCAATCAATACATACGTAATCAATCTGGGACTGTGGAATATTTGACACAATTTACGACATTTGTCGAGCACACATAAGTTGGTGAATACATTTTCTAGCACCCAATAAATCTGCGTATTAGATTCTCTCTTTGGAATATCGTTTGGAAGAAACATTTCTCCCTATCTCTGTGTGTGAATTAATGTGTGTGCCCATGTTCTGGTCGCATGCATTCAGAGAAAGAGATATATGCATAAACAAAAGCACCTATTCACTCATTTGCATTCACTTAGACTTTCAGCAATCTTTCAATTTCAATCTAAATGGGCACACTGGGTGTGCAATAAAATAAAAACTAGCTTAAACCCTGGCAGTTCACTGACAGGTGACTGTGTACCGTCAACATCACACCATAGCACCATCCAATGCTCGATCGGTGTTCAAGTATTACTTATGTTTTGTACATTGTATGTATGGGACCAACTAGGCAAACAAATATCAAGATAATCGATTGGTGGAAAGAGCGAACTGAACTGAAGACAGCACCATACATACATACATCCATATAGTGAGAGTAAAAGAGCAGAACAAAAGGGTAAAACGACGAAGTTAGAGGATGAGAAGAAGAATAGAAAAAAAGACGAACTGATTTTAATTAATTACCTGCTGCTATGACATGGTAAACACATGGCACTCGTTGTCGACCGATTCGATTTGATGCAACGCACAAAAGAGTTCCGTAATCTAGTTCTGTCATCGGTGTATAGGTAACGATCGACGATGTACCTGCAATATTGAAAAACAATAGCACAAAAAGCACATGAATGAATTATGTATTGGCACGATTATGATTCGTTATTAGAAAGCACGCCACTGTCAGGCTCCACAAACCAATCTCTTTCGCCTTCACACACACTCGGCCTGTCTCTCTATCTCTCGGTCATCCATAGACCTGGCTGTGAAATCAATGTGTACTGTACATACGTTTGTATATATGTGTTAACATTATAGCGAAGCCTTACCTTACTATAGGAGAGCAAAAGAGAGCGAGCGAGAAAGAATGTGGCTAGATTGAATGGTTTTTGGGGCGTTTGAGTAGTGCAACGACATATAAGCCTTTTAGCACTACTTTATTGCCCGTGCAAAGTCCATTGTTTTTTTTTTCTTTGCATCGATTTCGGATCGAAAAAGCATTTAACATTTATGCTTATGAAATAATTTTTTACGGTTGCCACCAACAGTACGAGATCACAGATACAGCGCGAGCACACACTATGGTTTTCGATGGCGTTGCTAAGCTTGTAATGTCGTACACTCACAGATGATATATCGCTTCCAAAACATGCACGTATTTGTTTCTCATTTCGAAGAGTGAAAAAGGCACAACGAACGGAGAAGAATGGACGGCAAAAACAACAACACCAACCGAAGAAAGGACGAAAAAAACTAACAGCATTAAACTCGCAAAATTCGATGCACACATGTACACACATATACAATGCGCACACCATGGCTGATATTGAATGCCAAAGACACCTGAATGACGATGAGTTCAACTGGCATGGGCTGGCATTTTATGCATTGACGTTATAACAATCATTTAATGAATTGAACGTAAAGCACGAGATCGCATCCCCTTCGAAACGTTCCAATTATAATTTAATATTCAGGCACTTTGGGAAAGTAAATTTCTAGCCATTTGAAAACCTGAGAACAAGCACATGTGCGCTATGCTTTGTTGAACCAACAGCGAATACACATTTTCAAAGTGCACCTCATGAACACACACACTCACAGATGCGATGCACGCAAACATCATCACCCGTCCCGGTGCTCTTTTGCGGAAAAGTTTATGTGTGTGTTTATGTTTTTTTTGGCATTGGCCAAATATTTTCAACTCCGCATACGATCTACGTTAACTGAGCGTGCGAATTCAACATTGGTTGCACAAAAGCGTCTGTCTCTCTCACACTCGCGCTCACACACACATGGCCTGAATGCTTAAATACGGAATGGAGGAAATTCATATCGATTAAACATGCATCATCGTCATCGTCCAGAAGAGGAATTGGCATCAAATACGATCTGAAATTCATGAACAATGAACATATTTCGCTCCGTTTTCAACGTAAAATAATAAAAGCGTTGAATGAAAACAAAAATCTAGTTGAAAACTCAACCGTTTGCCGCATTTAAATTTTTGAGATGATTCGCTATGATGTTCTACCTGATGTTTGGTTATGTGTTCTGTGTTTGCCCACCACCCCATTTTCCATCAGCCTCAGAAGCAAAAGTATGTGTGTATATGTTATTCACCTAAATTTAATGCGATTCTGCATGTGAGAATGAAAAGTATGATGGTGCACAAGAAGTAGCGAAATAACACGAGAAATTAGCCCGCAAATAATGTACGCCGGCAAACCTGGTAACACTTTGCTGCGTCTTTTTTCTCTGTTTAATTTGTTTGCTTTTTTTTTCAATTTGTGGGCTTCATTCTATTGGTGTATGGGTGGAATTGTGAATGAGAGATCGCGCGCGCAAAAACGCGTCAAATGTTTTCTTTATTCATGTCGATGATGCGTCACTTTTGTCACCAATCTCTAAACATGTCATAAACAACATAAAGCACCGGGAGTTCGGTATGTTATTTTGGTGTTCGTTGACGTGTTGTATCGTATCGATATGCAACTGGCTCTCTGTGTGCATGTTTTATGGTTTTCTGTTTTTCTGTGTGTGCTTGTGTGTGCGTATATATTGATGCGATGGATATTCTAAATAAAACAATGCAAAATAGTCGAGTAACAGTGTCATTGTGGCTTTCCCTTACATGTCATTCCATGGAGTTTCACGTTTACGCACCGAACATTCAACACACATGTAGGTACATGTGCTGCAAACTCTCAGGCGAGCGTGTGATATATATGGTGAGGGGCTGCGAATCTGACGATGTTTTGACGGCACTGGCAATTTGGTTACACTCTATTTTGCCGTATAGTTACTGTGTGGTGCCGTAGTTAGTGTTATTTTTCGTTGTTGTTGCTCTTGTTCTTCTTTGTTTGTACATTCTCATGTGTGCATTGTTTTCAGGCTTCGCGGCACCCCCACCCTTTCATGCCAAACAAAAACGAAAAGTGCCATAAACAAATTGAGCGCAATTTTCACTCGGTATCGAAGCATACACATAACATTTCAGTTTGTGGCTGGTACTTATCTATGTTTGTACATGTATCGACCGACCAGAAATAAGTGATTATGGTAAAATCAACAAAATATGTATGATGAATGAAATGCACGCAACAAAATACATCTCTCACCAAACACATATGCAACGCAACCCCTCCCGTTCTCATCGGTGGCAACCGTTACTTTTGCGCGCGTGAAACTCGCCGTACAAAATGAAGAAGAAAAAAAACTATTTAAATACACCGATCGCGCTATACAAACACGATTAACAAATTGATAAAAAAAAACAAAGACACACAAATAGAGGCATGAATATTGGCGTGTATCTTACCTGAACGCGTTACATGATTGCTGGCTACGTCAATGCTTTCGGCTGAATTATTAAAGGTCCATTTAAATTCAACGTCCAGCGGATTTGCATCAACGCTGCATCTGATCTGGGCCTGTTCCTGTTTCGCAACACCGTAAATACGGGGCTGACTTGGGCTACATGACGGTGCATCTATTTTATGGGATATACAAAATGAGCCAATTAATTATGAATTCTGTGTAGTTTCTTTTGTGTTCCATTTTAATCTCATGCTTTATTCATTCATTATGTGTGGTCCAAGAAAGAGATCTTTTTTGTGGGATTGAATTTATTTTGCTGTTGTTGTTTGGTGGGAGAAGCCTGATGCTGAATTCATCCTTGTGCGTAGGAACAAAAGAATGGTTGTTATTTAAAAAAAAAATGGAAACGGTTTCGTATTTGCTCTAAATGGATAACGATGGCGAAAAATACCCTGATTGTGTGGCAGACGAAGAGAGACTATTGTTTTACGGTATCCAAAGTTAAGTTAAGCGAATCAAACAGCAAACACAATTGCAAGTTGGAATTGTGCATCGAATCGGCGTCGACGGTGTTGTTGATGTCGTCATAGTCGTCAATCAAATATCTGTTAAACACATGTTAACATATTTCAGCTTCAATATTTATGAAGCATGTAAATTGTGTGTTAAAAGACCATCTGTATAAGTGGGAAAAAAAGAAGTGTGGGCACGACAAAATATGTACATTTCGAAATGCATTCGACCAATAATAAATTCAACATTGGCATCGGCACCATGCGAAAAGCATGTGTGTGGTTCAATTGAAACGGGGGCACCATGCGAAAAGCATGTGTGTGGTTCAATTGAAACGGGTATCGAGACAAGGAACTGGACTGGAAAAGAGCGAGTCAGGGCTAGAGAGAGAGAGAGAGAGAGAGAGAGGGGGGGGCAAAAAACGAGTCTTAAAACAACACAACGTGCTGAAAAACAAACTGTTGGGCATCGAACGAGAAGAGAGGATCACAAAAATAAAATCAAGCCAAGTGCAAAAATGAAACGTGAAAAAGAATGAACGAACGAAAGAAAGAACAAAACAAATAGCTGTTTGAAATAAAAAGGGAAAATACAAAAATAAATGCGAAAGCATGAAGCACGGATTCTTTTGCTTGTTCTTCCGACCAAAAATAAATTGATTACATTTAATCAACTATGTATAATGCGAGCAAACGAGTGAAAGTCCAACACACACACACACATGCACAGATGAAGAGTGTATTTCGCATGCCGAACGAACAAAAGCGTCGACCATACGAAGAACACATTTTTAAATTGCCGAATGGATCCGTATTCAGGTAGAAGCTGCTCATATTTGTTTGAAGAAGAGAGTGAAAAAAATGCAGAGCAATTTGATACAGTTTTTTTTCTCTCTCGCTCTCGTTCTGTTCTGTATGTGATTGCTTTTTGCTACAATGGAGCCAAAAAAAAGGAGCTGAAAAAAAAGTGTTAAGAGACTTGAGCATGTTTTTATGCGATATTATGGCAATTCTTCTCGAATATTATTGCTGTTGTTCCACTTGATTTGATACTTTTGTTGTGTGCGTGTTTTGGTTCTTTCACACTTTAACTCCGTAGCATTGGAATGCCAAAGCATTTGTATTGCCATCGAATGTGAGCAAAACACATGGAGACAGAGAGAACTCAAGAGAGAAAGTGAAAAAATCTCACAAAAATATTGCTCGCAATGCAATATACAAATTGTTACAAAATAATATTTTTCATTTCGTTACACTCTCTTTTTTATGTAAATACTGCACATTTATTTGGTACACGGCGAAACACTTTCCCAAACACTGTGGATGATTCATTGTCAGGCATCTGCCCACACTTGTCTCTGTTTTGTTTTCGTTTGTTTGTATGCGTATGGGCTGCTAAACGGAACGGAACAGCAGAAAAAACACACACACAACGACGAACTATATAGGATTGTGTCGGCTATAAATATATAATATGGATGACTTACACAATACATTCAGGGTAAACGACGGACTGATGCCATCTCCCTCCGCATTAAATCCGACACATGAGTAATTACCAGCTGTTGCACGTGAAACACCTTGCAGTACAAGTGAATGATTGCTTATTATTACACCTTGTGATATGTTGTGAGGTAGCATACGGCCCTGGAGATTCACATTTATGGTTTTGTGTTTATGTTTATCGCAGTAATTTGTTGTTGCAGTTGTGATTGTTTTCATCGCGATGAAAATGACGGGAAGAGAAAAAAAAATACGGCAAATCAGACAAGGGAAAAGAGAGAAGATGAAATGAGATGAGAGATGAAGAACAACAAGAATATGATGATGAAAAAACAACCGACACGAAGACAATGGCAGCACAGCACAGCAGAGCAGGGATATGAAAAATGTTCGATTTAAAATCTGTCCATCATTCTGCTGTTAATGCTGCCAAATCATTTCAACCGCTCACGAATGCTTTATCCCCATACCATGCGGTATATGTATGTATTTGTGATGTTTTTGTATGTGTCTCATGTTGTTGTTATTCTTCTTCTTATTGCTGGAGTACACAGTTGTAAGTAATTTGAAATGAAAATTTTCATTTGTTTGTTCTTTCGACTTCGTCTGTTGTGTTCTCAGTGTCTAAATATACCACAATTAGGGGGTTTCGCTTTCGGAAAACCACTTATTAAATCATTTTTCGGTTGATATGTGACAATCAAATGGCTTTGGTTAATAATTAAAGCTCTCATATTATATACTTACGTTGTGACGCCATTCCACTTTGTATACGTGCGGATGCGCCGTTACAAGACAGTCAAAATAAACATCCGTACCCTCTCGTATTGTGCTTGGATCAAGTGATGAGCCCAACTTGACTTTTGTTTCTGGGACATCTGTAAATGGAACAAGTCGAATGCATTCATCAATTTATCATTCATTAACAACGCCATTGAGTGAAAGCACATAGCACACACACACAGAGACACAAAAGAGCACACCAATGAGGTTGCCTTGCGTGTCTCACGTACAATGAGCCAAGATCGCTTAGTAAACGAAGAAAAACGACACGCAGCCCTCTAGGCGAGGGACACTCAAAACAATCATCGTACATATATTGAGCGGGCACTATCGATGCGTTCATTTGTGTGAGTGCAATTGTGTAAATGACAATGTGCGTGTTCAATATGTGTACAATGACAGCTTCGAGCATTCCACGCGTAGAGGCGTCTTGGCATCTTACGTCAAATCTTTCCCATGTATTTGTATACGAAGAAAGTGACCTTGAATGAGCTTATCTTAATGTTTAATACACAATTATTTGCGATGGAATCTTTGTTTGTTCTCGTTGTCGTTGTTGTGCACGTTGAAGCAGTTTTAAAGCATTTTAAATTTTTCGGTAAAAACTGAAAATGCCTTTTATCGAATAATGAGTGTATCACGACAAATGATCACTTTGGCATTGTTTAATGTACAAGATCCGAAAATCGTGATGTTTTTCAACAATCGCTCGTAAAACTGTAAATACTGTACAGACACGAAGTAATGCGGAGAAAGAGCGAGCAAACGAACGAAACAAACACTGTCTTGCAAAAAACGATATAATAAATATGGAATTTTTACGAAATACTCAGTTATATATAAGTTAGCATACAGGTTATATCCAACTGCCACCCATCGCTTAGAGTTTCCGACTGAAGAGCCGGATTGTAAGCTCGACATGATAAATATCGCCCGGAATCTGCTCGGCTCAGCGTAATTGAAAGCGTACTCGTTGTTTGATTCCCGTCACTGGACAACTGTTTCGAGATGGAAAATAAATGAGAAATCAATGTTTGCTATTGATGTTTTGTGGGGGATTTTTGTTTGCACAGCATACGCAGAGCAGCATATTGCCATCATCATCATCATCAATAAACCAACCGACCGGGTGACGGAGGAAGATAGATGCAATATGAACACATTTTATCAAGGTTTAAATTTTCCCATCCGCTCGATAGAGCCTCCATCGATTGAATCGAAAGAGTTTTTCAAAAGAGACTCTTTCAAAAGAATCTTTGCGAAAATTTTCAATATTCTGCTACAAATTACGGCTGTAAACTATATTCAAATGATTGGTTTTGATTTATATTTTAATACTATGAAGAAAAAAAACTAAAAAAATCGATTTGTATTAAATTTCATTGAAATTATTGATTTCATTAAAAAGATCATTTTGACAATCGTATAAATGTCAAGTATGGCATGAAGTTGCAGTGTATGGTGAAATGTCACAAATCATTGTACGACGATTGTCAAAATATGGATCAAACGAAATCAATTATTTTATTTAAATTCAAAACAAATCAATTTTTTTAGTTTTTTTCTTAATAGTATTAAAATATAAATCAAAACCAATCATTTGAATATAGTTTACAGCCGTAATTTGTAGCAGAATATTGAAAATTTTCGCAAAGATTCTTTTGAAAGAGTCTCTTTTGAAAAACTCTTTCGATTCAATCGATGGAGGCTCTATCGAGCGGATGGGAAAAATTAAACCCTGCATTTTATTTTATGAACAATAAATCTAAATAAATATCAATAAATGCACAAGACAATAGTGGAGAACAGAAATAAATAGACATAATTAGACAGCGAAAGGAAACAAAAAAATTATATAAAATTATTTATTAGGAATCCATTTTGAGTTATTTTGGGAAATGAAGGGAAAAAGAAATTACTAGTCGATAGTGTTGAACGCAAATTGTAACGATTTTGGTCCAAAATGAATGGAACCATTGAAAAAGACAAACAATGGAATAATCAACATTTCAGCTACTGGTTTTTTTTGTTGACTTTCTTTCGTAAAAAAAACGAATAAGCGAATGAAAAGGGAAGAAGAAAAGCAAAAACTACAAGAAAAAAATCTGTTTAAGGAGTTGAATTTCTCTCTGTCAAGACAAAAGTTTACCGTTTCGGTAGTTTTCTCTAATCGTTGTCCATCTCGCCACCATGTAATTACAGCTGGCGGTCGAGAGCCAGCACTTTGACACAGTAAATCGTATCGCTTGCCCGCTGATAAAGGTTGATGTGCACCCAACAGGCGAATGTTCAACGGTGAGACTGAAAAATCGACAACAAGAAACAATTAGAACGAGAATGAGCAATAAAATAAATGAAACACCAGACGCTGTATTGACCAGTGAACGAGGGTTTGTGTGTGTGTGTGGGTTAGTGTAAACGCAGAAGTACGCTAGCAATTCGGTGACCTTTCTACATTTATTTCTGTCGATAGCTTGACCCTTATCACATATGAAAACGCGGATCACATCAAGGGCGATCTCTGTCACACTGTCACAAATGATGTGCATGTCATGTCCATTTTTCACCATAGTTTTTCCACTCTCTCCCTATCTTTTTCGTCTATGGTAATTTAGAAATTCCACCAAATCATATACCATATATTTTATATCCACGTTCAATACTGAAATACTATTGAAATTGTGTAAAGAACAAAAGAATGAGAAAAGAAAACAATAAGATCTTTTAATTACACGGAAGACTAATGATGCGCCAACGAGCAAATGACGCAGAGTTGAACGAACGCAGTTCGTAAGACGATAAGAAGTTTCTATCGGAAAATAATGGGGTGAAGTGCAACGTGTACTGCCCGGCACAAATACAAAAACAAATGAAAAATGAAAATGCGACTGTCGAAGAGTACCAAGCGCACAAATTTTTTCTTCAGTTTTGGTTCGTTCTTTTTAAAATCGACGTGTGTGTGTGTGTGTGTGTGTTGTGCTAAGGTCCTGGAATCGTTTCACATATTGGAGGCGTATCGCTTGAGGGGTCCATTACCGTTATCATTTCCGACGTTCACGAATTCAACCAGTGAAAATCCATGAACGAAAACAAATCAACGCCAACAAAGTGAGGACAAAAAACATAGCAGTAGCAGCAGCAACAACAGCCAAAGTAGCATCGAAGAAAACCGGCGAAAAAATTGAAACGAAAGAAAAGAAAGCACGAAATAAACAACACTAATGCCGTCAAGTAAAACTTTCATATCATCATTGACGGTTTAGTATCGAGCTGCCAAACGCAAGCCAGCTAAGCATTTAAACTAAAACCGAAATGTGCGGAAAATAAAACAAAGAAAACGAACAAAAAGGAAGACGAGAGTCGAAAACAAAAAGAAGAAAAAATTGAAGCATAAGAATGAAAAAAATCGAACAAGAAATTGCTTTTATTGGCTCATGTACTAGTTCTTCTTATATCTTATTATGTGCTTGAATGTATTATGCTACTATTTTCTATTCTGTTCATTTGACCTCAGTTAAGTTAAGTGTTATTTTTCCATTAAATGCATTGCGTTTTATTGACATGAGTGAGAGAGAGAGAGAACGGGAGTAAAAAAAAAATGCGGCGACTATCCGAAAATGTAATCGATTGACTCTCGCTTGGGATTGAGTGAAGAAAAGTGAGCACATATATTTGTGTGTTAGCAGAAACAATATTGGAAACTTATGTAATGATCAAACAGTAGCTATCGCATCGATATCCGTACCGTGTGTGAGCATATGTGAGCATGTGTGTGTGCAGCACACAATGGACGTATTGATTCAGAGCATTTTAGCAGCAGCAGTAGCAGAAAGAGCAAGCAAAAAAAATGATTCAATAGGAACATTCAACAGAACACTGCTTGCACAAAGAGGAAACAGCCACACTTTTCTCTATGTTGAATTCAAAAGATATGTTATATGAACACATTCGCTGAATTATTCATAAACACATTATTTCATTTCATTTTTATTTACGCACATCATTTTAAATTTCTTCTTCTCGTTTACCCTATAAAAGTTGCACTCAACGTAAAATTACGATAAAACTAAACAATATGCGCTGTGCTGTGGCATGCTGATGTCGATGGCTTTCTGAGCTAAGGCCCGAGTGAGTGCGAAACAAAGCATAGAGGAAGAGATCATCGTTTGCTTCATTGTTTTCCACATAATTATTTTTGCTTCTTTGCTACAATTTGCTCACTGACCTAAAAGAATCACATTATCTTCGTCAAAAGAATATAACCATGAAACATGGCTTAATCTTTAATGGATATCATAGTGGCCATCGGTATTCTCCGCACCCTCCACCCCGTGCACAAGCATATTTTACATTGTGAATGCTCTTACTGCTGCTGCTGCTGCTACTACTACTGTTGATGATATTGAACTCGAAGTTGTCCATCGGCCATCAATTTTGCTGACCGCAACGATGACGCCTCATATCGTTGAATTTCCATGCGAAAAGATGTCGAAGCGATTGTTCTTGTTGTTTCTGATGTTGATTTGATGCTTTTATATATTTGCTAATATTATTCCATATATTTTTGGCAGGTGTTCACATGGTATGTAACTACTAGGCATGCACATCAATTTGACAATTTTGTATTGGAAAAAGGTGTTTTCCAACATTTTCCTGTCATGTTTTGTGCCTGAACGAAAAAGCATTCATTATCCTTCTTCCCAGTGCTGTCAATCGTGACAAAAGTGAGCTTTGGCCTTCGTTCATAACATTAGTGTATGACCTATGCCTATCAATGTGACCGATGTACACTATGACAGCGCGCATTCAAAATTTAGTACATTATTTTTCACACAAGACGAAAAACAAATTAGCGTCCACACAACGTGCGCACACACGCACACACACACACACACACACTCTATCTATCTATCGATGAATTCTCGTTCATAAGCGCAGATTGACAGCTGTTAGCGCCCGGGCGCGTACGTTCATCCGTACAAAAACTAAATTACAGTGAATAGTGTGGTAATTACGGCAGTTTGTAAGGATTAAAAATGGTGTGGTAAGAAAAACCAGTTTTACTTACAGTTCATGTCGATTTGGACGGTTGTTTCTAATGGACTCGCTCGGGGATGATTAATTGCTTTGCACGTTAATCGTGTGTTAAGATCCTGACGCCCAAGGGGGCCTAGGGTTATATCACTTTTCACACTCTTACCGTCGTTTGTTTCGTATGTTTCACTGTGAATTGGTATACTATCCCTGTACCAATGAATGACCGGCATCGGTTTGCCTGCAGAACCGAGAAAAATAAACAAAACGGAAAAATCAATTTTTTTAGTCATAAAATATACATGAAAAATAGCTGCTGCTGCGTTATTTTTTCTTTTGCACCATCGATCTCGAATTGAACCGATAATAATCGTTTTCAAGACTCACAGAGGAACGGAGGGCAGAGAGAGAGGAAGCAAATGACAGAAAAAAACTGTATAGCATTGACAAAACAAACAATGATGCAATCAATGCGACAATTGATTTGATTATTCTCGGTAATTTGTTTTTCATGTGCTTTATCTGTTTTTAATGCCAAAATTGCAAAAGATCAACCAAATCAGAAATCATATTTTCCCTTTGTTTAATGGGTAGTAAAAATTTCGACTTTTATTACCGTCATCATGTCTATTCGAGAATTGAAATGGAGTGAAAAAAAAACCGCACAGAGAAGAAAGGAACAAAAAATAAATAAATAAATAAATAAGCTAAGTTAATCCGAGGGCGAAATGGCAAAGCCAATGGAAACATGACAAAGAGGGAGATAGAAATGGAACACAAACCAAACAGAACAAACAAACTGCATCAGTCGATTTGGCAATTGATTTTACAATTTTGTAGCTTTTTCTTTACGGCTCATGTGTGTGTTTTTTTTTCTTCTCTTCTTATCTCCTCTTCCTGTCTCTTTTCGCTTCCGATTTTTTGTGTCTGTTTGTTGCTTTTGTACACGAGATACGCATCGAGCGTCGAGAGTCGGATTTCGACGCAAAACTGCGGAAAGTAAATAGGCTTTTCAAATAAGCTGTGTGTTAACATGCATAGATTCGATAAACAAGCCCCAAGTAAATTTCCAAGGACCAAATGAAAACAAAAGCCATTTTATGTGTGTGTGTGTGTATGTATGTATATGAGCGTGTAGCGCATTCATGGCAACCAAATTAGGAAATATATACGTATAGAGAAAAAACAAGCCCCATATACAAACACATTACATGGCGAAAAAATGGATTTCAAATTGAGAAAAATGGCAATGAGATTGCCGCATGAAAAATGCTCAACCAAATTAGAGGCGTAATCAGTCGATATCATTGAAGTTATGGAATTGAAGCATTACATGGCTTCATCATTCATGATGCGCAAGAGCTTCGCTGTCTTTGAGTCGTTTATTTTGTTTGGCGTTGATATTTTATTGTAGCTGACAGCTGCGCTGCTGCTTCGTGTTGCTTCTTCATTTTTTTCTTCTTCTCTGGATTACACAAAACGTTTTGTTCGTTCGTTCGTTGGTTCGTGCATACGTTTTATTTCCCACTTTGACTTGTTTGTTTTGTTATCCATTTTTTATTCGCTTTTGCGCCTATTTTTGTTCCCTTTTCATTCAATGTTTTCCTTTCAGATCGTACAGTATTTTTTTTGCATTCGTTGCTCAATTTCCCATATATACTTCTGCATATTCATATTGTTCAAGTTCATTAACTTGTTGTGGAGTGAATGTGTGCGCGTTTGTTATTTGTTTGGCCGTTCAACAATAATGTGTACAATAAGGCGCTTACCCAAACCATAATCAAACAATCATTCAAAGCTTAAAGGGCACGTTCAGCACAAATAAATTATAAAACGTATACAATTTTTCCACAAACCGAAGAAGAATGAAAAAAAAACATTTACGAAAAATGCGATAAACATTGGAGAAGAAGAAGCAACAAGACAAAACCATATAAATACGGAAAGAGAGGAACAAAATCGAGCTGGCAAATGGGGAAAAAATCAGGAGCGCCACATTATAGAACGTTGCAAAGCAATTCTCTTCGTTTTTATTTGCAAGTTAAACAGATCGTATGGCATTAATGTGCAAATATTTGGATAACATTTTTTTTTTCTCACACGGATTTCCGACATGGGGCGAGAAATGGGAATGGCATTTCTATCTTACTTGTCTCTCATGATACAAAATTGTCAAGCAACAAGAACACACCGACACACTTCTTGTCATTGTGTACACGTGGATCAACGTGTGTATGTCTGTTTGCCTGACGATTTTTGGCGAGCTTAGAAGGATTATCATTTTCGTTTCCGTTTTTGCTTGAACTTGTCTGTTTCCGCACAACATTTGTTAGGTATAATTCGTCTTTTTTTCCATTGCGCCTTTTTTTGTTAGTATTAATGGTTTCTCTCAATTCAAAATGGATGTGAAGATAACGTTCAATTTTGAAGCAATAATTAAGGAAAAAAGACAATAATTGATGAAGCCTAATACTTTTATAAGTATCCGATGGACTTTCGTTCTGAGCGTGTAAATAATGCCCAATTTTTTTTTCAATCGGAGAATATACTGCGGGGCAGTGTGTTTAAATTCGATTCCCATGTAATTCCTTTCATTATCAATTTCAATTGTGATTATCTCAAGGTTGTACGATTTGTCGCTTCTGTGTTCATGCATTTTTGATGATTTATCGATCAAATGCGATTCGTTACCCATGGCATGGGAAAACATATTTAATTGATGGGTTGATGGTGATTAGTATAAACGGGAACAACACGAATACCCTTTTTTGCCGCGTCTAAATCATATTGATGAGGCAAATCACAGGCGATAAATTCACATTGGAATTGAATGTAAATTGTACATACACATGTATGTGTATGAACGATACACTTATTTCTGTATCTCGATTTCTCAAAGAGTCCGTCATACGATCTGGTTAAATATTATCAATTAATTCGGCAAATGGAAAGATGAACGAAACATACGAAATAAATTGAAATCGAGAAGGAAAAAAAGAAGCGAGAATAAAACTAGAAAATTAATTGTCAGCTGTCCGAACGAAAAACGCAAGTAATATAAAGCCAACCGTAATTAAGCGTTAGACGGGACCCTGGCATATACACGACGGATGGAGAAGTGAAGCAGAGGAAAAAGTGGGTCGAAAATGAAAATCTAATTGGATCCGTCGTCTAGAGGACGACGGTGAAGTGTATTTGTTTGTGTGTGTGTGTGAAGCCGAACCGATTCGAAATATGTTCTCTAGTTTAGATGAAAGTCAATAACTAATTACAATAATAAGCAATGGACACATTGGTTGGCATGTTGGTTTGGCGAAATGGAAAGCCGTTCCATGCCACATATTAACCGCGTTTGCAACGCTGACTGGATGTTCATTCGGTTGGCAGGAGACGAACCGAGTAAAACAGAAAAAACACACACACACACACACACAATTTGCTCTGGCATCGAGCGAAAAAAAAAATAAGACCGTTAACCGCATAAACCTGCTTTATGCAACGATTTTTTCCTTATCCACGCCATATACACTGAAATGGAGGCACTCTGTTCTACAACATTCGGTTTCTTGTTCGTTCACTCGCCAGCTTGCCACTCTGCCTGACTGACTCTGCATCGCCAAACCATCGTCAACATTGTGAGCCATGCGTTTTTATTATTGTCTACTCGATTTTTATTTGCCGTCGAATCGAATGAATATTATTGTGAACTGACTAACTTAATTTCGGTGTCTATTTGTTAAAATTGTAATTAGAATGGAGTGAAAGCACTCAGAAAATGGCTTACACACTCACCTACATTTCTCGGATGGGGGAAAAGAGTGAGAATACGAATGAAAGCGCCTCGACACTCCCGTTTTTCGTAGGTTGTCTCTCGTTCAATTTACTTTCGATGTGGCTTTTTTTTTTCTGTCGGTCTCCCTTTGCACCGCAAAATCCAAGGATGCGAAAGCGAGACATAGAGTGAGTGAGATGAAGTTACACGATAATGCTCTTACTTTCTCATATTGTTATGTATCAACATCGCGCTGTGTGTATTTTATCAATATGGAGGAGGCTTTGTTTGGAACATACACAAGCGAGCGAGAGTAGAGAAAAAAACAACAACAAGACTAATACAGAAAAGAGATGAGGAAAAAAAAATCAACGAAATTGTGTATGTTTGTGGAGTGGACGATGGTAAAACCACAATAGAAAAAATGACCGGGAGACGCGTTTGCGGTCGATAGATCGGTAATTACATTACCTTATATTTTTAGTTCGTTGATTTTGGCATCGGGCTGCTACAACAACATTTTCAAGTTCATTTAACTCAATTAATTCTCGTTTGCAGCGTTTTATCAACACACATCTGAATTTTAAGCACATACACACCAAAACATTCACACAGTGTACAACAGCGGCAACAGCAAAAAAAAGTTGCTTCTTTTCACTAACCGTCGCCCAATACGGCTGCGCTTTTGTTTTTTTATATAATTTGTCCCAGTTTCATCTTTGTTTAGTGTAGTATGTATACGTAATTGAAAATAATGGGCAGAAAATGGGAAAGCACAAAGGAAAAAATGTCGTGAAATCACTGGAGAAATTAGCGTCAACTGGACGGAAAAAGAGAGCGAAAAACCAGAATATTATGTAGAAAAGTTGCTAATTCGGTAATGCCTAACCAACCAGAACAGGCGTGAGTAAATGCATTTTTTCTCTCGCTCACGCTTTTTCTCTTCTGTATGTGGTCAACCACCACGAATTGAAATTAAATGAGATAATTTAATTTATTCTCCCATGCGCCAAATCAATCGCAGTGGATATAGAGGCAACAAGATACAAACACGTTGACATTCTACGCGGCTTGTTACGTCTTATTTGCTGTGACATTTGTGCATGAGCACATTCACACAACTGAATTACATTCAAATAAGTAAACGAATGTATCGATCCACGTGACAATTCAATATAAATACATCGAAGGGAAATAATAAAGTTAACGAGATTTTGTGTGACAAAGCAATTCAAGTGGACATCGAGTTCAACAACATATGTGCGTTGGTATGGATGTGATACGGAAGGGGGGATGTTTTCCATCATTATCGAAACCGACATTTTTTAACTACCACCCACGCGTTTGTTAAGTAAACAAAATCAGCCGACGATCCATCGTACCTTTCGATGACTTATTTAATAGAGTGTGACGTGCGTGAATTTTCGATTTTTAGTTACAACGCTTGAGTCGGCCTCAATTCAAACGAG